AAATGCTATTTCACTTCATTATATGAATCGCTGATTAATCAGAAGTGTTGGCAGCAATGTAAAGGACTATCCTGCAAGTAACAGAATATATGAAAGCAAGAGTCACAGCTGCAGGAGGAGACAGAAGGCATTAATATTTTAACACGGCTTTAAATATGAGACCAGCTTTCACATCCGCTTTGCTTCACATGCTTCCCTTGGTTTTTCAGATTGAACATTTTGTTCGGTCATTTCATTTATCTGCAAACTGTGGGTATCCAGTGCTAGCTATTAGAGCTACAACAGAAAGCATCATGGAGGAGGTGCTGAGGATGCACCCATGATGCTTTGGGCCCGGTGGGAAAAGAGGAGTGGCTTATTCTAATTCTCAGGATCAACTCAACTCATCCCGACTTCCATGCAAATATATTGAGTTCAAAACATCCGAGGTACAAAACTGTAGCTGCAGTGGATTCAATGTTGGTTCAATAACCTGTGTCTGGCATATTTAGGTGTTGGTCAGAGCCTCAAACTCCTACACTGGATGCTGCATTTGAAAAGATGCCGCAAGATTAAGCTTGACATTTTTTTTTTTAACACTGCTTTCAATTTGAGACTCCTTTAATGGATTTCACATCCGCCTTTCCTGCACACGTTTCCCCTGCTTTTCAGATCGCATTTGAACATTTTGTCCGGTCATGCTAAACGCTTCTCTGCGAGCTGTCGGTAAACAATGCTAGCTATCAAAGCAACAACAAGGGAGGAGATGCTGAGGATGCAGGAGGAGATACTGAGGATGCACCCTCATTCCTCGGGGTGGCTGACACCAGCACAGAGCAGATGGGGAAGCTCACACAGGCCTATCAGTAAAGCCCGCTCTGGCACAAGCAGAGAACATCTGGCCTAAGAGGGATTACACCCAGAGTGAGGACGAGGATGGAGGGAAGGGATGAGGAGACACGATGAGGGATAACACTCTCCTTCCTGCTGCAATGTCCCCCCAGCATCCACGTCCATTGTGTGAACCCCCTCCTTCTCTGGCAACTCACACTGCTGTCCACTCAGCAATCTGGGCATATCCCCCAGCTAAAGACAGGATCTGTTTCGTAACAGGGGAGGGGGCAGGAGCCTTTGTTTGCCTCCCTGTCACAAACACACACACACACACTGCATAAAAACACAGAAAAATACGGATGCCCTACCGTCCGTGGATGAGGGCAGGTGTGCTCGAGCTCCTCCATGATTCCCAAAGACTCATGGGATGTGGCTTTGGTCCCTCTGTAATGTGACTCAGCATCAGTAAGAGACGCTGCCTCTCTCCTCCTCTTCACCCCTGTGTCTCTTTCTCCCTCCTCACTTCCCCCGCCCACTCCCTGCTCTCTCTCTCCTCCTCTTCCTCCTCTCTGATGCCCTGCTGCACAGAGGAGCGGAGGGATCACTCTGAAGCTAATTCTCAGGACCATAACAATAAAGAATTCTGGGTTTTCTTGCAAATATGTTCCTTTTAAAGCATCCAGGGTACAACACTAGTGTAGAAGTTGATTACATTTGCCTTTAGAGTATACACATCTGGCACAGAGCCTGAAAAAAACAAAAACATGGAGGAAACAAAACATGGAGGAAACAAAAGACTGAAAGTGTTGCATTTGAAAAGATGCTGCAAGAATGACATGGAAAATGACAGGGCCAAAAGACAATGTAGTGGAGATGCTATTATGTGCAGTGCATCTGTAATGTGATATTGCCCACCAACACATATCAAAAAATAATTCCCTTTATAATGTCTTCTTGTTTACCTGCCTGACTCAGTGTGTATTAGTGTGTGTGTTTGCTTATTTGTTTGACTTTTTCGTGCATTTTTCTTGTATTTGTTGGTGTTTGATATATTGACAGCGCACTGATTTAGCTTTGTGTTTTTGTCACACCCCTCCTTGCACATCTGTCCTCAATGCTGCAGATGTTCAAAAGCATTGACGGCTGTCTAAAAAACAAGGGCTGGGTCATTCCTAGCATTCGGTGCCATTTCAGCTAGGGTATTCAAAAATAAAAAACATCATTTCCCATGTTTTTTAAAAATTTAATCTGAATGATGGCTTTTTAAAGTATAAGAAAAATATTTTGGTCAAGCTCAGGATATTATGTTTAAATTTCCCCTGTTACTGTGTGTCCACCCTGTTACTGTGAAAAATAGTAACAGGGTGGACGATAACAGGGTGGACAGTTTATGCTAAACTTGGCTATTGCTACATGTGTGATGATAATCAAGCTAGCACTTGGTGACAACAGAAACATATATGTAATATATTCACCATATTTTCTAAATGTAAAGCAAATGATCAGTTACACTAAAGATGAGCATAGTGATTGAATGATTTTCCCACTCAAAATGCATCCTTCTTCTTCTTGAGTCATACAAATAGTAGAATAGTAAAGGGGCGTGTCCAGAGGGATTCAAATCAGAGTAACAGGGGGGACATTCAAACAGGGGACACACACTTTATTTTCAATACAAATGAATTAATAACAACAATTTCAATTTGGTGAGGAATATTAGCAAAAGGGTACAACAGTGACAAACATGTAGAATTTGTTTTGTATTTGTTTGATTTCTTTTTGTATATCTGATACAGAAGTTGAGCAAACATGATTGGGGACAGAGCAATTTGGCCAACTTGTGCTGGCTAAATAACATTGTTGTTTTATGGTATACACATTTAAAACCAAGCTTTAAAAAAATAAGCATTAGACCTTTAAAATACAAAATATATGATATAATGTGGTGGGGACCTAAATGGCACCGAATGCAAGGAACGACCCGGCTATTAAAGATTGCTATGGGCTAACTATACAATACATCTTATATTGTTTCCTGTGTCTGTGAGTGATTCATTGTGTTGAATACACGATCTTTGTGCACAGAGCTGATGAGCTCTCTCCATGGCGACCGAAAAGAGGAGAGAGCTCCAGGAAAAGGACCAATCAGAGGAGCGATACAACAGAGAGGCAGTGAGATAGGAGAGGATTGGTGGAGAGGACCATAGCACCATCAGTGAGATGATACTGAGAAGTATTCACTGGCCGGGCATGCAATTAGTCCGAGAGGAGAATGGAGACTATTTGAGAGTCACACATAGTTTAGATTCTGCTTTTATGAGGTTTTGTAAAAAAATACCAAGATATCTTCATATTGGAAACAAGATTCAGCTTTATATAACATTTATTTATGGTTTAATATTGTTCGATGTCTCTTGTATCTAGTTTCTATCGTTATATCGTCTAATCACACTCATTTGCGAGAGTCTGATGCATCCGAGTGTGCATTTTGCACATTCAATAGGATTGTTAACATACTAAAGAAGGCTACTTCTTTTCTGTTGTCCCCAGCTTTTTGGCAAACTTTCAGTAACCGATTAGACTAGAATAATGTAGGCTAGTGAAAGTTGCATCCTTACCGTGTGTGTTCCTCTCCTGCAACAAACAGACGCGCAACAGGAATGCGCTCTGATGCGTCGCTGTTTCACCATCGTAATCCAAAAAACCGAACAATAAGTAAAGTAAGTAAAGTGTTAACTCGCTTCTCTGACTGGTTTCTTTTCAGTACGAGGCAGCAGCAGTTTACTGCCTGACTGTCTGCCTGTCTGTCTGTCTGTCTGTCCACTGTGCAGAGACAGATCAGCTGCTCAGCGCTGATGAGCTTCGACAATTTGTTCCACGGTCCATTTAGCAGACCTACAACCCTCCCTATTGTACTACAGTGCAGGACCCCATTCATGCATGTGCAACTTGTAGCGTCAATACAAACAGTGAACAATGTATTTCAAAATAAAAGTTAAAACCTAAAAAAACGCAAAAACAACTTCAAAAGTCACCGAAATGACACAGAGAACCCCTCTTCACTGAACAGGTCTTCACTCATGAATTACCACAGTTATTTATGGCACAAAAGCCAAATCAGGCTGCAGGGACGCAGGACAAAACCCGCTTTGTGTTTTCTTTGTTGGCCTCACTGTATGTCGCTGTGGCCCCAATCTGGGACAGGAGCCCATTGTGCCAACCGGTGTCCATGGAAACGAGCTTCATCACAGGCATTGACTTACAAAATAAAAGTTGGTGCTATTATTGCCTGGAAATTGAAAACAGCATGGCGTCACCACAGGCACCTTAGACAAGACTTATTCTGATGGAAACAATGTTTTTGTTATATCCATGCATGTGAAAAAGCCAATTAGAGGAAAAGCAAGTGCTGAAACCACCTCAGTGGATTACATGTCTGTAAACAAGTTTGGTACATATAAGAGTGATTAGTTTTTAGGTAAAGGTAACTCCAAGGATAATGCCTCTCAAGGCTATACAAACTGGTGTGTCCTAAAGGTGTTTTTATACATGTTATGTGTCATTATTATGTTTGTATTATTGTTATATATGCATAATTTACACGTCCAGGGTCAAAAGCATTGTTTTATATGTCCAAATTATATGTTAGTATATGTATGTTTACATGTATATAAAGTGTATATATGTACAGTATTCTTCTATTATATAAAACACATTTTATTTTATTTTTAAATCCTTATTTATTTATTAATGTGTTTGCCTTTATGTGTGTATTTTGTATCTGGAAATGCATTGATACAATCTGCCTCATTGGATGTCTGTGTAGGAAACAATACAATCTCATATGAAATAAAAAGAAGAAAGGAATGTAGAAATAATAATAAATACACATACATAAATATAAAATGAACATACATTTAAATACTAAAAAATGTATGTATCTATTTTATTGAATGAATTAATAAAATATGTATAATATTCAACAGTTTACATACCTTTTGAATCCTGTGCATACCTTTTGAATCCTGTTGGTCCATCGTGTTGTTTAACACGATGGACCAACACTGCTCCCCTGTGGTCAGAGTGGAGATGGCAGCGCTACTTTTAATTGGCTTACAGCTTCGTGATGTCACTTCCTGTGTATGACTTTCCCCGGGAAGCAGATTTGGCGGGCGGTGTGTGTGCTGTTGTTGTGTTGACCTGCCAGTCAGTCAGCAAAACGTCAAAGTTATTAAAGATTTATTAAAGTTATGGCTCCGGTTTCTAACCCAGAGAAAGATATGGATGCTCCTGATGCTCCCGATGCTCTGGATGGCGGTGAGTTCTTGTTATCGAGTTGAATTCTAGCTTAATTTAGCTAAAACACACAGGGAGAGTTAGCTAACATTAGCTTACTTTTGTCAATCCATAACAAGGGACATGCTAAGGCCGTTCACAATGTGTGTGTTTTAATGAGTGCATGAATGTGTTTTAAACTAGGCCACAATTTGCTACATGACTATTGTGTTACTAAGGTTTAAAAGCGGTCATAGAGTAAGGTAGATATTGTATTTAAGTTAGCCACCTGTCATTTTCTGGCGCTGTGTGTAACATTAAGCACTCTCTGAATCCATTACAGCAATAATTAGATAGCGTTATCAAAATGCCTACATGTCTTTGTCTTTAATAAGCAGATGCAAAAGCAAAATGTGACTTTATTGGAGTATTTGTTGAGTTAAATGTCTGCAACCTGTGCTTTCAAGCTGGGCTCCTGGTCGTCATGTCTGTGTGTAGTGGTGTAAAGTAACTAAGTATATTTACTTAAGTACTGCACTTAAGTTGAGGTACTCAGGCTTTACTTGAGTATTTAATGATGTTATATTTTGTACTTCAAATCCACTACAGTTCATAGGTGAATAGTGTTCTTCTACTCCACTACAGTTGTTTAATACCTTTAGTTACTTTACAGATGTGGATGAATGATGTGAAATATAATCAAGTGTTAAATCAGACTTTAGTTCCACCTGGAGTAAATTCACAAGCTACCCTGCAGTATACAAAGTCATTCAAACTAGCTGCCCCTTTACCAGCTTTGAGAACACTTTCATGATCAATCATTATAAAACACATCATAAATAATATTCTGAAATGGACCAATCTGCACAATGAATACTTTTACTGTCGCTACTTTCACTATATTTTGATGTTAATACTTTCTACTTTTACTTGAGGAACATTTTGAATGCAGGACTTTTACTGTAACAGAGTATTCCTACACTCTGGTACTTCTACTTTTACTGAAGTACAAGATCTGAATACTTCTACTTTTACTCAAGTACAAGACCTGAGTACTTCTACTTTTACTGAAGTACAAGATCCGAGTACTTCTACTTTTACTCAAGTACCAGACCTGAGTACTTCTACTTTTAATCAAGAACAAGATCTGAGTACTTCTACTTTTAATCAAGAACAAGATCTGAGTACTTTCTCCACCTCTGTGTGTGTGTGTTCCTCAGATGCTGGAGGGCTGGCCATGTCTCGCTCCAGACGAGAGAAGAAGGAGAAGACGGGCAGGAAATCTGCTCTGGAGCAACTGAAGAAAGCCAAGAGAGGCGAGAAGATCAAATATGAGGTGAGGCACTTAATAGTAAACATCTGTGTTTAATCGTTTTCATTTACAGGTGCATGTTTTCTTTATTAATGTGACTTTACATGATCAGAATCAGCTTTATTGGCCAACTACGTGCACATACAGGTATAAGTCATAATATGCACGTGCAAACACATATACATTACAGCAAAACACGTGTTGTACAGACAAGGATATGTCCATCAAGATTCACGCAAAATGAGCTGTTGTCCTATTAAAATGTACTGAATTAAACAGTAAGGTAATATACATATAATATACCAAATACAGTTATATGGTTACACAATTGACACTGTCTTTCAACACGTGTGGCAGAGTTATGTTTGACAGAAAACAGTTTTAATTGTAATGCATTTTATGTAAAACTTGAATATTGTAAGAATGCAATCGTTTCAGGTTCTCTGCTGTTATCAAGCATTTAAAGGTGGATTTTGAAATGTTACTGATATCTATTCAGCCATGCTTGTTTCGTACATTAGGGTTAACAGGTCTTCATGTTTTCCAGGTGGAAAAGTTTTCCAGTGTGTACGAAGAGGTGGACGAGCAGCAGTACTCTGAGATGGTACGAGGACGACAAGAGGACGACTGGATCATTGATGACGGTGAGTCTCATTCGCTTGTTTATACCCTCAGAATATGTTGATATATGAAAAAATAACATGTCTTAATTGAGTTGTTTTGGAGTTCTAATGCAAGAGTTTCTCTTCAGATGGGACGGGATACGTGGAGGACGGGAGAGAAATCTTTGACGATGATTTGGACGATGATGTAGTAGAAAACAACAAAGGTAAACGTTCATAATGATCAAACGTATCATTTACATAGCACACTTTGGGGGCACAGGGCTTTTTTTCCCACAAAACTGTGTCTCAGGGCTTCTTAACATTTATGAAACTATTAATGTGTCATACTCACTTAACGGGAAGAAACTCAGCTACCTGACAATACGAACCATTTTTACCGAAAGAAAACACAAGTCTCACAAGAAGCGTCTAAATGAGCCCTGAGCGAAAAAATGCCATCGCACTTAGCACAGAACTCACAGCTTAAATACCCTTATTACTTATCGTATCTGCACAAACAAGATATCGATTAGCAAGCTGAGATTCCACGGATTCCAAAAATATTAGTATCATAACTGATCAGAACTCGCAACAGGGGAAGCGAAAACAGACATCACAACACGTAGCTTCACGGAGGAAGCTTCTTACCTTAGCTGTTGTTCTGATCAAAAGTCGTGTTCAATGGCATCAAAACGATCAAAACGCTGCTGAAGCTTAATCCATAGCTTAATCCAATGTGTCTGTCACTTTGAAATGATTATTCATCTTCACATTTACTAGTTTGAGCCTAGGGTTCAGTTCTCAGAGCATAACATTGCTTTCGACTGCATGCGCATAGCTCTCACTTGTCAATGGCAGTGTGTGTGTGTGTGTGTGTGTGTGTGTGTGTGTGTGTGTGTGTGTGTGTGTGCTTGCTTAACAGGTTAAAAACGACATCATCTCAAGGTGCTTCACAATGCTATGAAGAGAAAGTAAAATAAAAAAGATGAAATCTATAAAGTTATCTAAGGAGCATATTGAATAAAATATGGTCATGTAAAAAAATGTTAAGAGCATAACAGGTTAGAATACAAGTATGTGTACTGTGAGAGTGGGGCGGTGTGCAGTGAATAGCTTTGACCAAGTAGTGATGTTTGTGTGAAAATGCTTTGTTTTCAGGAAAGGCCGGTTCCAAAGGAGCAGCCTCAAAGAAAAATATGAAGAAATCTGTCGTCGCCAAGTCCAACACCATCAAGAGCCTCTTCATGAACAGCAATGTGAAGAGACCGACTGAGGTGAGTTGCTTCTGACACCAAATACCTGCTTCTTTGAAAAATGTCCCTGAGTTTGCTATGTCTGGATCTTTACTGAAAAGAAATGTCTCCTGTCTTTGAGTCGACCATTTGATGATTGTATGTCCTGCAGAAAGACGTGGATCTGTCAAAAGATGACCTATTGGGAGACATCTTACAGGACCTGCACTCTGAGGTTGGTACCATAATCGTCTAGAGCAGGGGTTTTCAAAGTGTGGGAAGGTGAGCACCTAAGAACAGCCGCGCCCCCCCTCCCAAATATTATTGCTATTATTATTATTGTTGTTGTTGTTGTTGCTATAATGCAGGGGTATTCAATTGCATTTAAGAGAGGTCCAGAAATTACTCACTGCTGTTTCTGTGTGTGACACTGTTTGTGTGTGAGACTGTGACTGTGTGTGACTGTGACTGTGACTGTGTGTGTGACTTTGAGACTGTGACTGTGTGTGAGACTGTGTGTGTGACTGTGTGAGACTGACTTTGTGAGACTGTGTGAGACTGTGACTGTGTGTGACTGTGTGTGACTGTGTGAGACTGTGACTGTGTGTGTGACTTTGAGACTGTGACTGTGTGTGAGACTGTGTGTGTGACTGTGTGAGACTGTGACTGTGTGTGTGACTGTGTGAGACTGTGACTGTGTGTGACTGTGTGAGACTGTGACTGTGTGTGAGACTGTGTGTGTGACTGTGTGAGAGACTGTGAGACTGTGACTGTGTGTGTGACTGTGTGTGTGACTGTGTGAGACTGTGTGTGACTGTGTGAGACTGTGACTGTGTGTGTGACTGTGTGAGACTGTGACTGTGTGACTGTGTGAGACTGTGTGAGACTGTGACTGTGTGTGTGACTGTGTGAGACTGTGACTGTGTGTGACTTTGAGACTGTGACTGTGTGTGAGACTGTGTGTGTGACTGTGTGAGACTGTGACTGTGTGTGTGACTGTGTGAGACTGTGACTGTGTGTGACTTTGAGACTGTGACTGTGTGTGAGACTGTGTGTGACTGTGACTGTGTGTGACTGTGAGACTGTGACTGTGTGTGACTGTGTGAGACTGTGAGACTGTGACTGTGTGAGACTGTGACTGTGTGTGTGACTTTGTGACTGTGTGTGAGACTGTGTGTGAGACTGTGACTGTGTGTGAGACTGTGACTGTGTGAGACTGTGACTGTGTGAGACTGTGACTGTGTGTGTGACTTGTGTGAGACTGTGACTGTGTGTGACTTTGAGACTGTGACTGTGTGTGAGACTGTGTGTGTGACTGTGTGAGACTGTGACTGTGTGTGTGACTGTGTGAGACTGTGACTGTGTGTGTGACTGTGTGAGACTGTGTGTGTGACTGTGTGAGACTGTGTGAGAGACTGTGTGAGACTGTGACTGTGTGTGTGACTGTGTGAGTGTGTGAGACTGTGACTGTGTGTGTGACTTTGAGACTGTGACTGTGTGTGTGACTGTGAGACTGTGACTGTGTGTGAGACTGTGACTGTGTGTGTGACTGTGTGAGACTGTGACTGTGTGTGTGACTGTGTGAGACTGTGACTGTGTGTGAGACTGTGTATCTATCGTGCTGATTCACTGACTGCACCGATTTGATTGGCTGAGTAGCGTCACCTCCTTAAAACATTAAACAATAACTTTTTTAAACCTTTTTATGTTTTAAACATTTTCTTAAAACATTTTTAACATTTTCAAAGTCGTGGATAAATCCTTATAAGCTCCCGGCAACACACTGCACGTCAACTTTGCCTGTTTTGGTCTAGCTGAATGTCAACACAATTAAACGGCAACTAATGACTTTAATTTTTGAGACACTGCATTGTTTTCACTGGATTTCTTTATTTATCTCTCTCCCTCCGTCTTCCCAGAAACCGTCTCTTCTCACTCCTCCTCCAGGGATCACTCTGAAGAAGAAGAAGAAGTCCCTGGGATCCCCCATGAATCCCTTTTCCATCAAGCAAAAGGTATCCTGTGAGCTTCCATATGAAGTATCTGTGAACTTCATCACATGTTAGGATTCAGTTCTTCTCACCTATCTGTCTCTTCTGCACCAGGAGTCACCGTCAGCTAGCGGGCAGAAGGCGAAGGTTATCATCAGACCGCCGCCCTCTGACCCGACCCCCAGACCTTCATCCCGCCTCCCCTCCTCTTCATCAGCTCCTCCTGTGAAGAAGAAGGTGGCGGAAGTGGAGAAGATGGAGGAAGAGCAAGGTGAGACGGACAGAAAACTAGGGTTTACATTTGAATATTGATACATCGAAACATTATTCCATTCCTTTTCCAAGGTGATGTCTTTAAATGTTTTGTAAGTCCAACACCTAAAGCATTTCGCTTTATTGCATTGTTTCTCAAACTTTTTCATACCAAGGACCACTTAACCAATAAAAAAACACTCGCGGACCACCTAACTCCACAAATATTCAAAATCACATCGTTTTTCTAGAACAGATTATAAATCGCCTAAAAATGCTACAAACAAGTGTCAACATGTGTGATGAAGGTGTTGCGCTGGGTTATATCATGCAATCGAAAGTGAAACTTAACCTCGCTCCATTGCGGAGATATTCCCGCGAGAGTGCGGAAAACTTACATTTATTTATTTCAAATCTGAAATGTCACCAATATACTCACGGACCACTAGGGGGTGCTCACGGACCACCAGTGGTCCGCGGACCACACTTTGAGAAGCACTGCTTTATTGTGATTATATAATAGAAAAGCAGGAGATCTTCATATTTGGGAGGCGGAAAACAGCATTTTCATTCCATTTGTTGATGGACATTAGTGATGGGAATGACGGCTCTTTGAAGGGAGCCGGATGATCTCATGGCTCCGTTCCTTTCCGAGCGCTTTCTTTTTAAGTGGCGGTGGATATCGTTTGTTGACCCTGCTTTAAATTATATTTTGGCTTTACAAATGTTGCGCTCCGCTTTCTCATTGCCTATGTTTTTGATGAAGTGCATCCAAATGCTGCTGTGTCGTCTACCTGTACCACTTTCTATGACTTCTCTCTCTCATGCGTATTCCGTTAAGACCCACGTAGGGCTGCACGATATTGAACAAAACTGACATTGCGATATTTTCCCCCCTGCGATATGAAAACATACAGGAATCTTTTTTTTGTCCGCAAACGATCGTTTCTTGAACTTTAATGCTATACAATTGGTATTTTTCTAACTATATTTAACCGGATGAAGGATTTTAGTCACGTACGTCTGGATCTTAAGTTATCAGAGCAACAAGCTGAGCTAGCTCGGTTAGCAGCGCCGAACTGCCCTGGAGAAACACATGAAACGACTTTATTCAATGTTTTTACCTTTAATCACAGGGTCCGTTTGCTTTGGAGATTTGATTGTGATTGGTGGTTTGCTGTCAATCACTCAAGTACCCCTGACATGAGAGCGACGCGAGTTTTCCTTTTGTAGCAAGCAGCAAAATAATTGTAACATGACGTGTTTGAGTCCAATTGCCTACTTAATATCGCACGTCCTGCGATGTGGATATCGCGATTATCGTCACGACACGATATATCGTGCAGCCCTAGACCCACGCCTACTCTGCCTCTGATTGGCTAACCCTAACCCACAACATCTCACTCCTCCTGCCCAAACCTAACCAATCAGAGTAGGGCCGGGTCTTCACGGAATACACTTGGGGAACAAAATCAAGCTTGTTCACTGTTCACGTGAAGGCGAGTGAACCAGCGATAAAAAGAACGGCTCTCACCAAGTACGACTCGGTTCCCTTCGTTCGTGCCAAAGAGCCGTTTAAAGGAATCGTATCATTCGTGAACGTAACATCACTAATTAAGATTTAAGATAGCTGTCCACTTATCTCTGCAGCTCTATATGCAACTAGCTTTTTGCATGTTCTTGATCCTAGCAACAAGCATACACTCACCTCTTTGTGACGATGTGTTTCTCAGCGGACGACGCTCTGGGGTTCGATGAGGTGGACTTTGACGAGCCGATGGAGGTCGGACTTGAGGACGAGAAGCCTGCGATTAAAGATGATCCCGAGCCTTCGTCTGAAGCTGCAGAAGTGAAGGTGGAGCCGAAAGCAGATCCTCAGGATCCTGTCTTAGTGTAAGTCTGCTTTGTTTCCTTTGTTTGCTCCTACAGCTTCAGGACATATAGATATGTGTCCTGCTTCAATCCTAGAATGCACTTCATAGAGACTTCTTGCTCTATTTTTATTTACATTTTTGTATTTTATTATATCTGTTGGAGGAGCCCAGGTCAGAAGAATGTCATTACCATTTCTACTCTGTAGCTTTGTGCATATGACAAGAACAAGTTAGAATCTTAAAGTCAACTTTATTGTCAGTTTGTGTGTACAGAGAGAGAGATTTGACTTTTAAAACAAATTTTATTTGCATTTTTCTTAAACATACACCCACCCTGCAAAAGAGTCGGAACAAACCTAATACATTACACAATCAAATAAATAAACAAATTTTCATGACTACCAAATAAATATCATTTGAAAACCCCATTTGAAAGCGTTTGACCCATTTAAAAACATCCAGAGACAGACAGATCGAAAATAACGTTTCCCACAATCCCAAATACAAAAACAAATATATATAAAATATGTATGCAAATATGTATATCCTATTTATACACAATCAAAAGACACATTTATACACATGCACACATTAAGACCTAAATAAAAGCACAACAATCAATATATAGAAAAACAACAGTCACTTCAATATCTTTGAGAATGTGCATTAGTGCAAGACTGTCCATAGCAGCGTTAAAACACACACGGGGCCAACCTGTTAAGACCTATTTCCATAGAAGCTTCATTTTTAGCCTCTTTCTTCTTCTCCTCCTCCTCCAGGTCCAGCAGGGCGGGCAGCTCGTGGGGTCAGGAGGAGGAAGGAGGGGTCAGCGAGTCTCAAGTGGAGGTGCAGGTCGACTCCAGCAAACTCCCGCTGGTGGAGGGAGCGGACGGGGAGCAGGTTTTCCGCTTCTATTGGTTAGACGCCTTCGAAGACGCCTACAACCAACCAGGTGAAGCATACTGACACTGACACTACTTTTTCCATCTGCTTACCCAGAAGCCTTTTAACTTGTTTTACCACCTAGCGTATTTACATTGTTGTTTTTAATCTCTTTTATGCATGTTTTTTATGAATCTGATATTCCATTGTGTTTATTTACTGTGTTCCTTTCTCTTGTTAAGTGTTAATGATGATGTGAAGCACTTTGAATGGCCTCTGTGTCTGAAAATGTGCAATAGAAATAACTTAGCTTACCGTTATGATGTAAAGTGAAGTTTTAGAGCACTGCCTGACATTTGACCTCCTCCTCCTTGGCCCAGGTGTGGTGTACCTGTTTGGAAAAGTGTGGATTGAGTCTGCAGAGTCTCACGTCAGCTGCTGCGTCTCCGTCAAGAACATCGAGAGGACCATGTACCTCCTGCCGAGGGAATATGTACGTTTCACGCTTTGTCATTCCCGCCAAAATGTTATGAAAACAATACGTTGTGTTCCGCTTTTTATACAGTTACAAAAATCACTTGTAGTAAAACAGATTTGCTCTTATTTCTGTGTTACAAGGTGTGGTAACATGATACTTATTTAGTGTAAGTAACAACGGTGTCATAATCAGTTCACAAACACATGTTTTGGTGAAGTCTTCAACTGTTTAGGTTGTGTTTTCATCCACAGAAAGTGAACACAAAGAACGGGGAGGTGTCCGACTCTCCCGTGGGAATGATGGACGTCTATCAGGAGTTTAACGAACTCTCTGAGAAGTTCAGGATCATGAAATTCAAATCTAAGGTGAGCGCTAACCCTGCTCACACACTGTAGAGATATGTAAGGTTTGACCTGTGGGTAACTCTGGCTTGTTTTCTGCAGAAAGTGGAGAAGAGCTACGCCTTTGAAATCCCCGACATTCCCTCTCAGAGCGAGTACCTGGAAGTCAGATATTCTGTGAGTGGACGCATCTCATCTTGTGGTTTTAGGTCCAGGCCGTTTTTTAGGACATTTAGACATTTGAGGACATTTCACCAGTTGCAATGAAATAGTAGTAGACATTTGCAATCAGGGAACATTATACATTGAAACCCTCCCCTTCTCATTGTCCTCTTTTTTTTCTGATATGCATCTTATACAATGTTCATGCATTTTAAGCACATTTTTGCGAACTCCTAGGAAAAATGATCGGAAAAATTCCTATCCAGGTCAAGTTCAGCTCATATCCAATGTGAAGCTAAATTGCGAAGAAAACAGTTGATAGCTCAATCGTGGAGGTCGTAAGCTAACAGCGAATTACACCATTTTTGACGATTTACATGTCGCAAATTACTCCAAACTACTCGCATATAGTTTTTCCGATATTCACGAAACGCTGAATACACATTGCTCTTATGATTGCGGACATATTTCAAATTTGCTTTTATTAGCCCCGCCCTCTAGAAAGTTGGCCATTTTGAAAGATATGCGTTTTTCATGCATTTTAAGAACATTTCTGCAAACTCCTCCTAGGGGAATAATCGGAAAAAATCCAATCCAGGACAAGTTCAGCCCATATCCAATGTGATGCTAAATTGCGAAGGAATAGTCGATCGCTCAAACGATGAGCTCGTGAGTGAACGGAGAATTTTCCACTCTTGACGATTTACATGTCACAAATTACTCCAAATTACTCCAAACTACTCGCATATAGTTTTTCCGATATTCACGAAACGCTGTATACAAATTTCTCTCATGATTGTGGACAAATTTGCTTTTTTCCCCCGCCCACCAGAAAGTCGGCCATTTTGAAAAATGTGCGTTTTTCATCCATTTTAAGGACATTTTTGCGAACTCCTCCTAGGGGAATGATCGGAAAAAATCCAATCCAGGATAAGTTCAGCCCCTATCCAATATGATGCTAAATTGCGATGAACATTTTTGATAGCTCAATCGTGGAGGTCGTAAGGTAACAACGAATACACCATTTTTGACGATTTACATGTCACAAATTACTCCAAATTACTCCAAACTACTTACGCATATAGTTTTTCCAATATTCACGAAACGCTGTATACACATTGCTCTTATAAATCTTGACATATTTCAAATGTTCTTCCATTAAATATGTGCGTTTTTCATGCATTTTACGCACATTTTTGCAAACTCCTCCTAGGGAAATGTTCGGACACACACACACACACACACACACACACACACAAACAGACACATAAACAGACACACAAACACACACACATAAACACACACACACTCACCTACTGTTAGTCCAACAATGCCCTTTGCTGGCGGCATATTCATTACAACAGACACACTCCCTAACCCTAACCCTACTGTTTATTTGTAGATATCTCCTAAAGCCTACAAATAAAGTGTGAAATGTAGGCCTGTTACATATATTATTGAGCGATATATATTATACACACTGTTCTGCTTTCTGCACTAACCTCAGCAGCTGTTCTCACTAAACATTGTGTCACAATGAAAGCAGTTGTATTAAAAAATAAATAGCCTAACATCCTGGGGAGATGTGATTAGTGAGTAAACAAATGGTAAAGGACAGGAAGTCTGATGCGCATTTGATCATCTTAAATAACTTATAATCACAACGGGGACAGTTTGCAGAGCTGTGTTTCATTGAGATAAGTCCAGCCATGCGTCACGCCTCTTTTAAACATCATTGTTGGCTGAAATCGTCTCCGGAGAATACTTGAGTGTACCCTCGTTTATAGCTCCTCCAGAGAGACTCCTCTCTCCTTTCTCCTCTAAATCAATGTATCCTTGGTTACGGCTCCTCCAGACAGCCTCCTCGATAATCAATCCTCGACGAGCCTTTAGAGAAATGTGTTTTCCTTTGAGACGGCGCGCCGACATCCGTATCCGGGTTGCTGCCGGAGGACCTGGGAGTCTGGGACGCGAAAGTTATAGAAATGAGAAACGGCTCATTTCCCAGGACTCGCGCACGTCTGCTTGACGCCGGGATGACCGGCTGCCCTCCCCGACAGGCGCACGGACGCGAGGGCCCGCTCATCACTGCGCACACATGTGCGACCGCAGTTTTAATTATTATTATTATTAATAATGTTTTTTTCTTTTTCTTTGCAGGTTGTCATGTTTAATAATTGAATCTGGATCACGATTTTTCATTTTGTTATGTTGTTTATTCTGTACACAACCACTATGGCAGTGGTTTTCAAACTGTGGGGACCCTGGTGGGTCGTGGGGGTACTGCAGGGGGGGCGCGGGAAGAAATTGTAAACAAACACTGCTCGAAAATATCTCATTGGTCAGAGAGCTGTGGGCATACTGCTGCCTTTTGCAACATCCTACTTGTGTGAGATAAGCTGTTCTGCTGTTGCTGCCATCAAAACGAAATACAGATCAAAGCTGAACATTGAAAATGAACTGAGAGTGGCATTCTCAAAACAATAGCCCCGGTTTGAGAAGATCTGCAAGGGAAAGCAAGCACACTCAAGTCATTGATGTGGAATAGGAATGGTATAGTGATGTGATCGTTTGCAACCTGCAGTATAAATAGTAGTTAAGTGTTCAATCATATATTTTCCTTAAATAAATTCAAATTTAAAAATCCACTACTCAGGGAAGAAGGCCTACTAGTTTTAATTAGGCCAAATTAATTCACAGTATCTATTACAAACACTTTTGTTCATGTGTAATCCATAATAAAATATAGAATTATAGTTGGATCTTTGTATCTTCTTATTATTAGCAGAGAAAATTTAATGTTTTCACAACAATTAATCCTACCAATATAGATGGGAACCGGGTTGGGGGGGGCCCGAAAATATTTCCAATTACCCAAGGGGGGCCCGACTGAAAAAGTTTGGGAACCACTGCACTATGGCATTGCATACATANTTAACTTCGTAATAATGTATGCTATACGTAAGTTAGTTACGGTGAGAGGTGTGAGAAAAAAGGAGGAGGGGTTGGATGAACGGATGCTGCTGGACATCTGTCATCTGCAGGTTATTAGTTTGCGCTTTTGTGCAGGTGGCTGGTTACAAAACACATCCTGTTGTCGGTGATCCCTTTCAATTTGTATGCATCAAACGTAGGCAGTGGTGTAAACGTGCGTCATTTACTATGCTTAGACTACTCACTGCTGTGCTGAGTGGAAGGCCTTGTATGTGAAATGGCTGTAATACAAATGTCAATATTGTGCATGCAACCTAGATTAGAAGATGGTGTCCAACTGGTGTCATACCAGTCACATCCATATCCATTCTATCTCTATTAGCATGCATTGATTTTCTGATTTTGGTCTTTTGCAGACCTCTTTTCTTACTGGCAATGATATATAATCATGTCACCTCTGCATATAATCAAGCTAGGATTCACAACCCTAAATTCATATGGTTGCTTTCCTGCGATTTCTTCCTTTAGTGCAATAAAAATCAGCACGCCCAAACTAAAGGATCTATTTTCTGCATGGGATGAACCAGTTGCTCTCACACATGGACTGCAGTGTGTGGAGCTGATGAGAGTGGCTGGTTGTGTATTTGGTTGTTTCCATGGTGATCCAAATGGCAAAAGGCAGCACTTGGCTCTCCCACCGTGAGCTGACATGCTGTTTGTCTGCTCCACTTACTGATCCCTCTCAATACACTCGGTGATGTACAGCGGCCAGCTATTGAAAGTGAAATGCCACTAAGGCGGTGAATCGTGTTTTATATATATGTGAGAGAGGGGGATGTACATTTCCAGTGGGAGTCCAAGGGCAGGCTTTAGACCACTTTAGACGAACTGTTTGAAATGTATTGAAGTGTGGATCGATGTGAAGGCTTTAATAACACATTTTAACTGCCAGGCCCTTGACGTTTGCCAGCAGTTATCGTCATACTGTACTGGTTAGAAAAAAGTGATGTTTTACCTGAATCACAGTCTGACGTGAGTTGCATTTGCAGTAAATCTTCGAGACAGGAGTCCTGGCTTCATATGCTGGAGCATTACATTAACACCCGTATTGAGCTCCTGTGTTACTGTGCAATGCTACGGTCTGTTTGAACATCAGAGCATTTGACAGGGCCGGCTATCTTTAGACACGAGGGCCACAGAGAGACTGCAGGAAAAAGGATCTTCAAGTTCTCTTGCCAACGGCGGATATTGTTGTGTTTATGCTCTCACTTTTCCAATCCAGTGCTTTGTCACATTGTCGTGGTTGTTATGGTTGCGTAACAGTGTTGGTGTACGTGTAGCCCTGATACAACACTTGCAGGATTGTCCCGTTATATATAAAATACCATCTTAAAACGTACATTTAGAGAGATCTCCCCCCGGGTTAGACGCCATAGAGGATTTCACCTAAAGCTGACGTTTCCTGTGCAATATTTTAGGCAAGAAGGGCTCAATGCAGCAGTGAAAACCCGCCTGTCCTCCCCTCCCACACCCCTCCATTTCTGCTCAGCTCTAACCCTTTCATAGCCCAGGCACCTCTACTGCAGCTTTGATCCTGCACTTGCAGAACCATCTCCAGTAAAGGGGAGGACAGGGGGGAGTGACAGGTCCCCGAATGTGCATTATCACGGCACCCAGCTGGGTAATGTCACAGTAGATCAGCCGTACTAAAGACCACACTCAAGACACAAATGGCTTCTTCGTCTATCTTGATGCTTTGATATGGATACAGAAAGAATAGCAGAAAAATCACTGGTTATTAGTTTGCGCTTTTGTGCAGGCGGCTGGATAGGAAACACATCCTGTTGTCGCTGACCCCTTTCAATTTGCATGCAACAAACGTAGACAGTGGTAGATAGATACAGAAAGAAGAGCAGAAAAATCCTTTTAATATTTGTGTTAAGACTCATTTTATGCATCCAAATCAGATTCCCATTCCGCTTATTTCCACACAGTTTTAAGCACCCAGAGTACCGAGCACTGATTTAACTTGAATACATGATTCGCCAAACTTTCCGCCTGGTTGACGATGCTTTGCTGTTTCAGCTAGAGACGGCAGACCGAGAAGGAAACAATGTGCTGCTGTGGATTAAAATCTCTTTGAAGTTTCACTCGGAGCCGGTGATAAGCAGCCACCTTGTTCAGCACAGGTTACATCACTGCGATGTTGGAGATGATGCAGAACTGTAAAGGCAGCCAGAATGATTTAGCCCAAAGGTGCAACTCATGCGGCATTCAAATGTTGGCAGGCTAATCCCGAAATGTATTACTTTCATAAAGAGAGATTTCCTTCAAACACTACTTGGTAGAATGACACCACTGTCTGCTGATAAAGAAGTAAAGTGTGATAAGGCCACATTAGTGTGTTACTTTTACACCATAATAAACAAGAGATATCCACTTATTACACGGCTTAGTTGAATACTTGATTCTGATTGGTCAATTTGGACATTCCTAGTTGCCTGTTGACTTTTGCTAACACACCGCTGCTAAGGAGAACAGACCGTTGCTAAGGAGAACCAATCGTTGCTATGGAGGATCAAGGGACTATGTGCAGTCATAAACGTCCTGTAAATGTATCGTCAGCTGTTGACAAAAAATCATTAGTTTTCCACATCCAATGATATGACTGCACATCGTCCCTTGATCATCCATAGCAACGGTCTGTTCTCCTTAGCAACGGCCAGTTGGCAAAAATGAACCACCTCCAAATTGATCAATCAGAATTGAGTACTCTACTAATCTGTTTAATAAAGGTAGTTCTTCTATAGTGTTTTTATTACGCGTCATGCCTACAGGAGCAAAGTATCTTACCCAAGGACACTTTGACATTTTGACTACAGGGGCTGGGGATCTGTTGGGAAAATACTGAATGTACTCTTCCAGTATCAGAGTACCATGATAACAAAGGTATCCCAACTGTAGCTGTGAACATGACAGCATGTCTGATTACCTAGAAGAGCATCAGGACTGTTTGAGGCATATGATAGCTATGTGATTAACATGATGATTCAGCCTCTATGGAGAGAGACATATGACAAGCATGATCATTTCTGACGTGGAGCTAATCTGAAGTAAACATTGAATACTGCTTTCTATTCCTCCATCTTGTGACTGTGGAACTCCCTCTCTTGGATATCAGCATGTGAAGGACACTGTTCAGGAACTAGTTGATGCTCTGTATGTGATGACTACTTCCATTCTGGAGAGGATCACAAATACATGGATCCTGAGATTGAAGCTCAAGCCGGGGACCAGTGATATTATTCCAACAATACGAAACATGAACTCACATTGATCAGAGCGATGATCCAGAAGGCATAGGACACCTTGGTCATGACCACCCCCTCGGTGTGCAGAGGATACTGGGAGATGTTTGCGATCGCGCCCCCCTGCCCCACCAGGCTGTTGCGGAGGTGCCCCAGGTCCGAGGCAGATGATGAGTTCAGGGTCCAGTTTGAACACAGGACACACGAGTCGTCTGACAGGAAAGGATCAGCCACCAGCGGACTGACCAGCGCTCCAACGCCTATGAAGAAATGCAAGGCCTGGGGCGGGACACGGGTTATGATGTCAGATTAATTAGTATTTGGTCCGAGAAAACATATGTTTTATTATTTTGGCTCTGTACAACAATAGATTTTTCTCTGGGAGTAACTTTTTATTACATTTTTTAGTCATCTTCACAAAAATAAAAAAAAGTTAGCGTAACAATTAATAATCAACACTTTCTCAACACAAGATTTCCTCTTTGTAAACTAAGTTGTCCATGAGTCCTCTCCTCATCATCATCTCCCCAAAGGTCAAGGTGTGCATATCTGTACAATCTTATTTTGAAAGAAGGATATAACCAGGTCAGAAGCTCGCTGTATAGCCTCTAATGTTCCTGCTTTAGCGCTGTTTACAGATGTGATTGACATAAGGTAATCAGATTACATTACTTTTATATTATGATACTCAGATTAGGTTACATTTTTAAACAGGTACAGTTTTTTGTATTAGTACATTTTTTTGATTGAACATCTTAGAAACAAAACAAAGTATAATAATTATAACAAAGAAAAGCAAAATAAAAATAAACGTTCAGGGTATTAAAAAAATCATTCTTAAATAGTTTCATGTTCAAAAGGGGCAAGAAGAAGAAGCTTAAAAACGTTCCTGGACCCCCCAGTAAATCTAACGGACTACATTTTTAAATCAAACACTCACAGCTGTTCCCTCTAGGGATGTCCCGATCACCTTTTTTTGCTCCCGATCCGATTCCGATCATTTGATTTTGACAATTTGCGATCCGATCTTTATGCAATGCATTAAGAGAAAAAAAGCATTCAAGTTGTCCCTTAAGGTTGTTTTTTTATTTAAATTGGATATTCTATCCAACATGGATAGGCTATAGCTTCTTTTTTTCACAGCAGCATTGGATCAGTTCAGTTGTGCAGCATTGGATCAAAACAAAATAAAGCTTATCAGTACTCGTTAGCTTACTGCTACAATTAGACACTGCGCCCTGCCCACTCTGTTGCCAGATTTGAGAGAAATAAGCAACCAGGTCTATGAAAACAAGCCCCAAAGAAGCAACACATACATGATGTTGTGTAATTTGAAACCAAAACTAAGGCCTCAGGATGACTTTAAGACTTGAACATGGTCATTTTTGTTTTCTAACATTGAATACAAAATTTAAAAAAAGTATTTATAAAAATAAAAAAAAAAGATAATCCTGATCCCCGATTTTTTTCTCCCGATTCCGATCTTTTGAAAATCAAGTGATCGGCTCCGGTCCCCGATCACGTGATCGGATCGGGACATCTCTAGTTATAAATATATTTATTCTTCACTGTCGGGTCACTCATTACTGGATCAGTGAGCTGCATGAGACGATACTGACAGGCTGTCA